TGTTTGATTTTTTTTTATTTTTTTTTTTATTATTATTTTTTTTTGATTTTTATCTTTGTTTGTTTTAGTATTTAGCGCAGTAAAGAATACTAGTATACTTTTATAGTTTCTTAGTTTTTCGATTTTTAGTTTAAAACAAAAATGAATATATTTTATTAAAACTTTTAAAGGGGCTCTATGAAAAGATCGCGACGACGTTTCGTCATCCTTATCTTCTTTGAGCCCAGTCTGTTTAATTCTGTATTTAATAAAGATCATTAAAAAATCCATTCCATTTTATATTTTATATACATAACGGTGCCTGGTGACAGGATGTACAATTTTACTGTGGATAGTATGTATTGTTTTGTATATATAAGTTGATTGTATTTATTAAACAGCGAAATAAATGTAAATAAAAAAAAATTAAAAAAAATGTCCAAACAAGAACTTTATATGCAATAATTTTTTTTGCTTTAGGTTTTTTTAATATTTAAAAAACTTTTCTTTTTTTCATATAATTTTAAAACCTTTTAAATATTGAATCTAAAGAACATCATTTTGGAGCCTTTAGATCAATTTCGCTTATCGGCGTTAGCATGAACTTAGTTAAAATGCCTTGACCCACTATAGATCCTAGTTCTAATCGGTTCTAACGTATATTAACTATATATAATTGTCCAAATACAATATTCCTATCAATTTTCACAAAAAATACTATAGTATTTTTTATTAACTTTGTGTTAGTTCTATAGAATTCCGACCAAGAAAGAGCTTTATAATTATGTAATTATGAAAAATTTATAATTATAATTTATAATTATGAAAAGTTGCCTATAAACAATCAGAACAAATCAAATTATTAAACTATGATGTCTAATTCACCTCAAAAACATATTTATTTAAAATCTTATTCAAATTTGGACGAGCAATTGTAATTTCAACAAGATTTTTTTAAAAAAAAAAAGAACCTTCGGTCTGGGTTTTTTCGATACAAACATTTATAGTTTATGATACCGCAAAATTTATCATTTTAGTTTTTTTTGTCTTTTCATAATTCACAGACCTGATCATTTAACGGAAATATGTCGTAGTCAAAAAAAATATCATACAGACGCTATAATATTTTAAAATTGCCTTAACTACACCAACCTTAACTACACCAAGGGGTAAAATATGTGATATACCTTTGAAAGGTATAATTTTCTACCCTTTAATGTAGATAAATATACCTTTGTAGTAGAACATTGTATAACAAAACATTGTTTTTTAATATAATTTGCTACCTTAAAAATTAGAAATTTATACCTTAGTAAGGGTATATCACATTTTCCAATTTATGGTAGAAATCTTTTTTTTAGTGTGAATGATGCATATATCGTGGGAGCCGACTTTGATTTACAGACCTACAGTATTAAAATCAGAACTCTAACTACAAGACCACGGCAGCACATTAATAGAAATGAAAGGTTGTTTTATAAATAGAAAAGATTACATAACTTCCTTTACCGGGTTATGTAAACCTAAAATACTATCATTGTTAGTATTAAGTTTGACATAATAAATTGTTAATAAACTTCTTACCATTCTACCCAGAAAATCAATCAATATATTTCTAAAATACTTGGTATTACATTTCAAGGTTGTTTAAAAATAGTATAAACTGCTAAAATTAAGTAAACACATAATGACAATTATTAAAATATAATATAATATTTATATTAATAATACTAGTAAAAATAATAGATTATAATAATAATAACATATTATTTTAACAATAGTAATAACAATAATATAATAATTTAAATAAATCGTTATAACTTTCCATACTGTAATTGTTTATACATATACAGTTACAGTTACAAACAGTAATAAACTAACAAAAAGTAACAACTAACAATGAAATAAAAACTACTATAGCTAAAAAAACTATAAAGATTTAGTATATATATATTAATCATAGTTCTTATAATATAATAATCATAAAATTTTTCAACTATTATGAATAAATAAATAAATAAATATAAACAGAAAAACGCTGAGAAAAAAAGAAAAGCACTGAGAAAAGGTTAGCCAAGAGCTTTCATAGCACCTGGGATAGCAACCCTGATAGGTACCTCTTTTTTTTCTAAATTTTACTATATTATCAGCGAATGAAGTTTTTTAGTATTATTATTTTTTAGAAACCGTTTTTTTATTTGAAAAAAACTTGTACCTTGGGTTGTTCTGTTTGTCTGTATATTGAAGATATTTCCCAATAACTGTTGTTTTTAGGGGGAAAGGCTATCTATATTTTAAATAGATTGAAGATGAATCGCCAGTATTTGCTTTTGTGGATACAGCAAATGAATGGATGGTAGGCAATTAGTATGAAACTTGATACTGTACTTGAGTTTCTATTTTTTACTTTGATTCAATTTTTTTTTTTTTTGGCTTCTTTATTATTCTGTTTTCTTTTATTTTTTTTTAAATGAGTAGTCTTTAATGTTCATTAAGATTCTTAAAACAATTCAAAATTGTTTAAGAATAAATAAACTATTTAATTAGGTTGAGTTCTTTATAAACTGTTTTTTTTTTACTCTGAGGCACATTTCTTCGAAGACTTAGTGGTTTAGTGCGCTGTCATCAGTTTTCCCGACGGGCATTTGTTTTTAAAAGTTACGATCTAAATGTATTTTAAATGTCTTTTAAACGTCTTTTAAACATTAATGTTTAAAAGGCGTTTAAAACACATTTAGAACGTAACTTTTAAAAACAAATGCCCGTCGGGTTGTTTCTGGAGGTTCAAGTCCTCCTCGAAACGTAATAAATTTAAAAAATTTTTCAATTTCGCTGTATATATTCATAGCAAAATATTATATTCAGCAAAAAAAAACTTTTAATTGTTAAAATGAAAATTTAATTTCCTCATATAATGCATATATTATACACGATAGTTCAATATACGCCCGGCAAACTAACTTATAAAAAAAGACGTTTATACCTAGCACAAAACAAATGGCGGAACTAAAAAGATGACGTAATTTTAGAAATAAAATGATTGCCTTAAAATGTATTTAAGAGTAAGTAAGCGTCCTCCCTCGTAAATGGTAACGGTTTTTATAGATCCTGATAATGCCAAACTATCTTAGAAAGTGATTAAGTGACAATAAATTTTCTTGTTCTCTCTATAACAAATAACAAATCTGGAACATATCTTTTTAATATCTATTGCAAAGGTGCAATAACAAATGTGCAAATAAAGCCGAATTCTTGTCACTATCCAAAAATAATTTATGGCATATTGAAAGGTTTTATCCAAAGAGCTTTTTCATTATGCAGTAAGGAACATATAAATCATGAATTAAAGTTTCATAGAAGATGGTCATAATAAAAAAATACTTCAAAACATTGTCAAAAAAATAAAAAACAATGAGCAAAAATAATCAACAAAACAACAACAATAACATAAAAAAACTAGAATTTAATTATACTTTCAACCAAGACGCAAGAACACATTACATTGAAGTTTTATTATTTGTTTGTTTTTTAACGGTTTTTTATATTACTTGAATAACGAGGGTATATATAATCCAAAAAAAATATTGTATTATATTATAAAGAATTTTATGAGGATAAGTTTATACTATTAACCGATATTTTAAATTAATTTTATCATATCAAAGTTCTCTATTTTGTAGTGTCTGTGAATCGCAATCAAAAAAGTACATTGTGTATTATTTAAAAATGAAACTTTTCGGGACAGTACATTTAGTCAGTCAAAGGTTATCTTTTTACTTAATTAAACCAGTTAAGAATTATTTTGGGTAATCTAAACCAAGAAAATCTAATATAATCTTTCAAAGAACTAAACTAACTTCAAGAACTAATGCATTTATTAGATTGCTGAAGCAACATATCTTGTTAATAAGATAGTTATAATCAGTTTTGATGTTCCCGTTGTTCTGTAGCTGTTAAAAACTTACAAGGAAGTGTTAAAAAAAGCAGTTTTTTTCAATAATGGTTAAAACTCTGTTGCAGGGACAATGTAACCATTTTTTTAATTTGGTTTTGTTTCTTAAACTAAACCCTCCAGAAAAAACTCAATATATTTTAAACTTTATCATCTTAACTTTGAAAGCATTTTATTTATAAAAACTAGTGATATGGAACTGACGTTTGCATATTATCGGCATAAAGATTATGCTTGAACGTTCGAGCAGAAGCAAGAAATTAGAAATAAAAAAGGAGTAAGTTGTTTTTTAGGGTTGTTTGATGCTACTATTTTTCAAATACTTCATTTTTATTATAATGAAAGATTAATACAGTGCTTAGTAAACAATGATTGGCATAGCAAACCACGCTCAGTAGTTTTTCTGTGCCCCAGCAATGTTAGCTCCAATAGACTATCTTTTCTCATAGTGAGTTTATGATGCATCATTGTAGAGCTCGCATGTCTGACTCGTAACTTGAAATATGAAACTTGAAAAATGACTTTTCTTAAATTTAATAAAAACATATTGACTGTATGTTAATGTTTATGTTTATTTAACATAAAATACAGTTAATGCTAACAAAGAATATCAACATATTATTTGATCCTTTATTTCTATGCATAACTATGTTAACCTCTTTCCTTTTTTTATTTTGGTTTTTCATATATATTGATCGATTTCCAATTATGTTTGACTTTTGGCTACGTCATGATATACTCATAAAATTGTTTTTACTTCGAAGCATGTGGCCTGGGATTTATTGTTGCAGGACACGGTATTGACAGCCGGTAAAAAGTAGCAGAGACTTATCTTAAGCACAATCAAAACCAAAGACTGCTTCGTGTTTTTGATTGCGACAAAATAATTTTTACCCCATCAATACATAGTATTATATTTTGGTGTTTCTCCGCTCACACAATTCATTTTTAACTGCAATTGGTGAAAACTTGCCATAAAAGCTTAAATACTTTAAAGCTGTCAAACATACAGAAATAAATATTACCAGTGTTAAAGTTTGTAAAAACTTCTATAAATAAAATAAAAATCTTTCAATCTCACGTAATAAGATAAATAATATTATTAATATACACAAAAGAAAATAATATTTTACAAATACAGAATTCAATTCAGAAGACATGATTCATAAGTAGGAATCATATACTTAATATTAATAAAAGAATCTTCACCACCGTGTTTTTCAAACGCTTCAAGAGTCTCTTGAATAAGATCACCAATGTTTTCTCGTCTCTGTTGGCTATAGTCAATTCCATCGCCAGAATTAAGATTTTTGTTTTTAAAGATGTTCAAAACTGGCAAAATTTGGCGATAGTAGGGAACTAAAGCCTCGCCAACCATTTCACCTGAGATCACTAAGTGTTGAAGGACTTTTAAAGTTGTGCAAACAACTTGTAGGTCGCGTGTGTCAAGAGCGTCTCTTATGGGTAGAATGAGTTGGGGGACAACAGGTAATATTTTAGCACCTCCGTGTTCAAGCATATCATGCACACCTTGGCGGGCAAAAAACTCATATGGATGTTCAGTTTCTCTCAATCCTTCAAACAGCATGGGAAGATAATGATGATAGTCTAGTTTTTCAATTTCAACTTTCCAAGCTATTTTATTTCCTTTAGTGTCATGTTCCAATGCGATTGGCAAATCTCCTCGATCATAAAACCTACGGAACTGAGTATGTTTTGCAGGTCTTTTTTTAAAAGCACCTGCTTCAGGTGGGCCAGTAACCTAAAAAATAAATTTGTGTATAATAAAAAAACTTAATCTGAACAAAATGTAAATTTTTGTTAAAAAAAAATTAGCTAAGGAACGACTAAAAGTTGAAATATTTTGGTAGGTATTTAAAGACTGGCCAAAAACTTTTTATGGTACCTATAAGATTTTGTTATTCTAAAAACAAATTAAATAAATATTTTGCAAAATAAAAAAAATGGTGGTATCTAATATATCAATCAATATATAAATAAACAACACAATGCTGAAGGATTTTCAACGGGTTTAAAATTATTTTATTTATTCTTTTTGATATATCAATAATAATAATAAAAAAACCCAGCAAAATATATTAAAAGTTATAAATATAAAACGCAAATTTAAATATAAAACTTTATATACATAACTAATGCTTTTTCCGTTCTAAGTTTTTAAAATTATTTTTACATAACATTTGGCATTGTAGAGTGCCGACATGAAAGCGTCTGAGGTCAGTATTTTTTTGCCCACATTGTTTCAGTGTTGTATATATTGTAGTGTACTTTTGAGCTAAAAGTTTTATCCCAACCAAAAATTGTTTAAGACCTTAAAAATTTTTTCAACAATTTTGAACTATTTTTTATTCTTTTTATTTGTATACTTTATTTAATCTAATTGCGAGAATTGCATATGAGAAAAAAAATTTTTTTTTTTTGCAATAGAAGTAGTATAGAAGTAGAATTTTTTTTTTCAAATTATTTATATTTAAAAGTAAAAACAAATTTACAAAAAACTGTACCTTATATAAACTGTGATCATTATCATCAGAAATTAATTAACATAGAAAAAAAAATTTTTGGAAAAAACTGCTATACATGCATTTCGCAATACATAAATAATAACTAATGTTAACATTATCAATTTTATACATTAGAACATTATAATAAGAGTTTGATACAAATAATAAGTCAATATATATACATATACATATAAAGTCAATATACATGTATGGCATATGAGTCTCAGGATATGATCATTTTGGAATTGAAAGTTTACTCAACGAATGAATACTCAAAATCCGTAACTCTTAAAAACTACCAAAAAAGAACATCAAAATTAAAAGTACTGTACAAAGTGTGACAGGTGAGACAATTCACAGTGGGCCAGAATTGTCTAAAAATGGCTAAACTATTAATGAGTTAAATATAGACATATTATACATGCTTATAGAGGATTTTGGGCGCCAAGAATGTCATTTTTAGGCTCCATTTTAATTTTGGAGCGGTCATAAAAAAAAAGTGGTTATCTAGGGTGGTTAAGGGGTTTCTCGATGGTTTTTAAGTCAAATGGGACATCTAGTGTCAGGGAATTCAAATAAGACCCTGGTGTCAGGGAATTCAAATTTAGGCATATTCAGTCTTAAAATGTGGTCATGACCGCTTAAATGGTTATTTTAGTGGTAGTTAAGAATGGTCCTGAGATGTCATAATGCTGTTCAATAAGATTGGACACGTTGTATGTCTAAATATAGGTAATTGCAATTAGGAAATTTGAAACTGGGCATATTCGGTCTTTAGTAGTGGTCATGACCGCCCAGGTGATCACTTTAGAGGTGGTCAAGGGTAGTCCTGAAATATCCCGATGGTTTTTCAATTTGATGGTATATGTTGTATGCACATTAATATAGGATATGGTAAATACACACACACATACATATGTATATATATATGTGTGTGTGTAAAAAAAAGTTAATAAAAAAAGTAGAGGGTTATTTGATGTCACCATGTGACACAAAAAAATATATACATATATATATATATATATATATATATATATATATATATATATATATATATATATATATATATATATATATATATATATATATATATATATATATATATATATATATATATGTATGTATATATATATATATATATATATATATATATATATATATATATATATATATATATATATATATATATATATATATATATATATATATATATATATATATATATATATATATATATATATATATATATATATATATATATATATATATATATATATATATATATATATAAGAATCCAGGACATACATTATACATTAGCACATCAAGTGCCTTTTGGCCTTCTCAGGTTGATTGGAATCTTTGACTTTTCCCTGACTCCTTCTAATTCTGGTTACCTTAGTAACGTAGCAGCAAAGCATTTTTCATAAATCATAGTTTGTTTAAGGCCTGGAGAATTTCATTGTGTAGTGCTAGCTATTGATTCAGTGTAAAACATTAGGATTGGGGTGTATGAAATGACTATTTTTCCATTTTTTGGACGTTATTTAAATGAACAAAACACATTTGACCCATTTAAAGTACAATTTTCTAAATGAAAACAGCATTTTAGAAAAGTTATTTAGACAATATTAAAAATAAAAGTACTAGACGATGTAGTTTTCTCACTTTCAACTCAACGAGAAATTAAAAAACCTTTTTCTCGTAAACAATCTAGTTTTGACTCTTTACTAAACTAAACTCTTTTTTTACCTAAACAAATTTTTTGCATACAAAAAACTCACATTTGGATAGGAAGGGGGATAGATTGTTGATTTTTATTTGTTCCCAGCCTCTAAATCCTTATCATTGTTCCCTCCTTCTTCATAAAATGTTCATAAATTTTCACATTAACATTAATAGTGCTATTAATGTTATAAAGATTTTAAGAAGATTTAAATGACTAAAACTGTTCTTTATGCGTCTTCTCCAGTTTTTTAAAGCAAAACCTACAATTGAATATCATTTATAATAAAAAACCTAGCACCTATTGCGTTCAGCTGAGCTCAGAAAATTCGGTTGTAAATTTTTATCCATATATGAAAGTGTAATTTAAAGTAGATCATATGCACGGTCTAGTGCGGCCTAGTGTTTTTCTGCTTGTGTAAAGATAAGTGTTAAAAAAATGTTGCGCATTTTAAGGGAATTCATTAAAAAACACTTTTAAAAAAAAGCAAGCATAAAAAATAAATTTTTTATATTTCTTCTTCTTATTTCAATATATGATGTCAACGGACTAATATAAACCTTTAAGAAATTAAACTATTGTAAAATTGTCTTGATTGCGTCATATTTTATTTTTATATGACTTTTTACATTTTCACCAATATTTGAAAAATATAATATTGCCATTTTTGAGGTAAAATTGATAGATTGAGCTCATAATTATAGTAGGGAAAAAATTATATCAGTTTTAGAGTGCTGGGGGTCTCTAGATTAAATTTACAAAAACAAACGGCTTCAATATAAAAGTTGGTTTGGAGGGTTTTCCTCACCTCTGGCCCACTGTGCAATGTCTGACTCATCAAATCAATTAAAAGAAAATACAACTAATAATGATATTGTTGATTTTAGTTTATAATATCATGACAGAAAAAAGAATTTTAGGCAATAAAATAATAAATTTTGGTTTGGGCAGTGGTCACCCTACTTATATGATAAACAAATCTTCTCGATACTTTTATATGGGTTTTATCATAACTATAACTTCCGTCAAAGAAACTAAAAAATGCCAACACAGATATTATTAAAAATTAATGCCAAACCAGATAGACGCTTTTTCCATTGTTAATCATTTCCAATTTTTGATATTCATTAGGCTATAGAAACTTCTCTTAAGAATAGTAGATGTAACAAGAAAATTCGAGGTAATTTTTATAGAGTATAGACAAATTAAGGACACCTGATGCTCTATCACTAAAAAGTAACCTATAACTTACATCATTTATAGGTTAGTTTTCAGTGATAGAACTATTTCAATGCGTATACAATTCAATGTTTATATTGAAAGTATCACACAATACAACAGCTTCTTCAATATTAAAGTTGTTACTGCAAATTCCCCCAATACTTTTAAATGAGTTTGTATTTTTTATCAGATAAATTTGATGGATCGAGCCAATCAAAATATTTAACGTTGTTGCTATAGCTATAAAATCGTTTATTTATTTGAGGAATAATTGTATCCAAATCATTGAAGAAGATTTTACATTTAAAGTATGTAGTTATATCCCATAAACCTTTTTTGTAGCTGGATCATTAACCTTTTCATCTTTCTAATGTTTTACCTGTCCTTTTTTCAACTTGTTTTTCTTTACATTCAGTTCTATAATTGATAATGATTTATCAATTCATAAATCTAATTTTGGATGCCACCAAAAGATTTGATTATCACGTAGAACTTTAAAAATTGCTCGTTATAAAAATTGGATAGACGAAAGGTTATTTAACAATTTTTGCAGAAATAGCATCAGAAAAATAAATGAGTGGTTTTTAAAAAGAAAAAAACAACTGAAAATCAATTAGCTTATGCTATAACACTTTCTGTATGATTTTTGGATCTTCCTAAATTTTTATTTTTAGAGTGGCTAGAAAAGCAGGGAAGATTTAAAAACAACATGCTTTCTGCTAGCCTAATTCGTATAAGAGTTATTTTAAATTGTCTATTATCAGAGGCAATTCTACGAACAAAATGAGGGGCTGAATCCTTAAAAAGTGCTGATGGTTCTTTTAAAAGAAAATAAATAAAATATCCTCAAAACTAAAATTCACCCGATTGAATTGTGTCAAATACCCGATTAGCCAACTAAATTTGTCAAAAAACCGACTATAACTTGAAAATCATCTACTTTAGGGGTAGAACACCCTTCTCCCCACACCTCTCTCACCCCTCCCCCTCCCCCTAAAATTGCCTCTGTCTATAATCAACCAACGCAGAAATTTTGTATGCAGTTGTAGAATATGAAGTTTTGGCAATCTAGTTGTAAAGCACAAAAACAGCATAGCAATTAACACAGGTGGTATTTGGTAACATTTTATCTAAGTTAAAAGCCATTTTAGCTTCTGGACATCATAGAAGCACCATAATATGATTTTCTTCTAAAGAATTTAGTATCAGTGTTTTGTTCTTTTAGCTCAAACAAACTTTTGTATCCCAAGAAATTTAGAAATTGCGGCCGGTTTCAGCAGTTGAAAATTGAAATTGTTTATATCGATCTAATGAACAAAGTTCTATTCTACACAACTTCCTAGTAAGTTTTGCGCTAAATTTGTATTACAGTAGAGTCCTGGATTTGTTGCAAAGTCTAAATCATGAAGAAGTGGTTCTTGACCAGTATTAATTAGTAGTGGGGTGTTTGGGGCCATAAGTACTCAACTAATCTTCTTTTCTGGACTGCTTGAAAATGGCATCTATGGTTCAAATTTTTAAAAACTATTGAACGATCAATCATCTATTATTAGCAAGGTTTTTTGAGTCTTTGATTAACAAATTTCTAACATCCTATCTCAAATAAAAGCACTTATTGTCACTTATTGTCACAATAATCACTTATTGTCTTAAAATCAGTAGGGTTTTCAATCTTATTGTTCGACGGCTGACTTGCTAACTGTTGTAACTAAAAGATTCTATCGTACATTAGATGCAGGAGGCGAGGCAAAGACCATTGCTCTTGACATCAAAAGTGTTAAATAAGATTTGGAATGTTGGTCTTTACCATGAGCATATTAAAATTATAACCATAAGGAAATTTTTGAGATTTTCAAATGATTTATTTCCAACCGTTTTATTAAAGTCATTTGCAAAAGCCGATACTCTTCTTCATTTCCAGTAAATTCTGGGACACCTCAAGGTTCTATCCCTGGTTCTGTATTGTTTTTTATCGACAAAAATAATATTTATGAAAATTGTACATCATAATTTGATTTGTGGTGCAAACAGTAGTAGTAAATAGTGATGCAGCATTAATTTATTATGTAGATTTCTTGTGTATTAGTCATTCTTAAAAACAAACAAGAAAGTGGTTACTGAATTCAGTACATGAAGTATTTCCTTGCAACCATAACTTATGCAAGTCAAAAATATTGTCAAACCCTCCAGAAGACACTATTTCTGTGTCAGAAACACGAGCTGAAATTAAAATAGAAGCTATATTGAATAAAGTAGCTGAACATGTAATTGAAACAACCAGCCCATTTCTTTAAAATGCACCTTCTAATTCGCCACTTACATTAAAAGACATATAGGGATGTGCCAGAAGTTCCAGCCACATTACATAAAATATTTTAGAAACTTTAAAGCTGCTAATAAGTTTCTGTCTGTATTTGCATTTTACGGTTTTAGTTTGTCTAACTTGCATAATTAGTACCGTTACATTGAATGCTTGCTATACATTAGCTACCGTTTGGGCTTGAAAAAGGAGCAAGTTAGAAGCGATGTAAATATACAACATTCAGAAAAGGTCGATAAAGGTTTTTTTAAAAAAGGACTTATTACGAAGATTACAGAATTAATCAAATTAAAAAGTGTGTTGCTTGGTTGCGCTATTAGAATTTCTCTTAGTGTTCATTCAATTTATTATTTCAAATTTGCAAAACTTTATAATTTGATTTATACTCGTGGCATGTATGTATATATATATATATATATATATATATATATATATATATATATATATATATATATATATATATATCGTGGCACTTGATTTTTTTTTGCTTTTTAAAAGAGTATTTCATTACAATATTTAAAATACAAATATATAATAATAAAATATATAATAGTATATATATATATACATATATATATATGTATATATATATATATATATATATATATATATATATATATATATATATATATATATATATATATATATATATATATATATATATATATATATATATATATAATGATTGTTATTATAAATTAAAGATCGCGGGGACTTCTAGAAAATCATACAGTTTTTTTAAGGAAACTTTTTTTAAGAGTATATATACATGTAGATAAACGAAAAAAATAAATAAATAAACGGAGTTCCTTTATAAATCCAAGATGCATTATGTGTATGATATATGTAAATTACAGTCAATAATAAATATTTAAGCTTTCGTTGAAAAGAAAAGTACTTACTTTGATGAATAAAATCCTTTTAAAACTATTTTATTTTATAAAAATGGTCCGCAAAAATCAATACAAATATGAAAAAAACTTTGTTCAAAAAATGGGTTGCTTAATAAAATTATCATTACGTGAAATGTAATTATTTTTATCTTTTGATGAATACAAATTATGGAAATAAATTAGGTATAAATTGGTTTTTCATTGAAACATAAAGCAAAGAATATTTAAAATATTAAATTCGTATATATTAAAAACTTTCATTTCATAATAGAGGCTTGGCATGAATATAACGGCCTTTAAAATATAAAAGAAGTGCTACATGTTTCTTCTGACAAGTAATAGATTTAAGTTTACTTTTATTTGTACTACACCAAGTAATGCTTGCATAGTTTATATGACAATGAATAAACAAGTGATATAATTGTACAAAAGTATTTGTATTATATTTATTCTTCCTTTGCATATATCATATTCCTATACTTTTTGAAATTCCAAGTAAGATTTTTATCTAAAAAAACAACTAAAATGTTGGTTACTGATACTTTTTTAATAACAAGTTGAGGCATGTTAATTGGCAGTTTATGTTTTTTGATAAGAGAAAATAATAGAATCCATTTAGTTGTATCAATGTAAAGAGATTATTTGTTATTTTTAAACCAGTCAGATATTTAGATTAACTAAATGTTCACGTAATGAAATAAAGTAGGAATGCTTTTGTGTATCATAAATAAATTAGTGTCATCAGTAAACATAATTTTTGTGAAATCCGGGGTTTTGTATAGCTCATTTATATAAATAAGGAAAAAGAAAGATCCTAATATGGATCCTTGAGTTACTCCACATGTAATATTTAACTAATATGATAATAATTTTTCATTGGGGTAAACAAATTGTTTGCGATAACTTTTCAATCATTTTTAAAAATTGCCTGTTGAAGATCCCTGTAACAATGCACAATGTTTTAATACATTGTACCCAAGTTATTAAGTCATTTATTCCATTTATTCAACTCTCGCCAAAAATAAGAAAACAATTTATCAAACAAGAACCATGAGGCCGTATGTCTATTTTTTATGTATCCGAAAAAATCAAGTATTAAAATCTAATTTGTAAAGACTTTCTGCCAAAATGTCCAAATAATTTTTTTAGATATTTTAAAAAGTTTCATCATTCTTACGACTAGATTTATTGGGCACATACTCCATTGTTGAATATTTATTGATAATAAACAGAAATTGTGGACATACGGCCTCTTGGTTCTCGCGAGAATCTCACTATAAGTTATACACTAGTTGCATACAACTTTTAACTGTATATATAAATGTCATATATAACTGTATTTATAATTGTATAATTGAACACGCATGTTTAATTATACAATTACGTTTAAAATTCAAATACCGAATATGTCTCTATATTGGTTTTAATAAAGGTGCTTTTTTTTACAAAAAATAGATTTTTTAATTATACCTGGTTAAATAAAATTAAGAATTCGTCAACCGAGCTCGGTTGACGAAATCTTAAAAACAAAAAAATTTTAACTAAAAAAAAAGTCATTCTCGAAATTGAAAATTTATACTTAAATTTATACATTTGTATAGTTAATAAATAAAACTAACCTCAGAATTTTTCATCCATGACTTAATAGTAAATCCTTGCGTAAAAATTGGTTTACACCTAAAAGTAAACGGTTTTTCTACCTCGCAAGAAGCCATTAAAACAGAAAAAAAAAAATTAAAAAATGTCTTGAAATAAAATGGCTACACGATCAACATAAACAAATAACTGTTGTAACTACAAGTAACGCGGGCCGTATATGTGTTTATTTTTAATTGAATCGACAAATTAAAAACACAAAAATGGCGGCTTCGGTACCGCTTCCACCAAATCTTAAACAGCTTAACTCATATTTAAAACTCGCAAAAGAATATGATAAAAGAGATCCAACAGTAGCTTATTTTTGTAAGTAATTTTAAAATTTTTAAAATCTAGTTAGAAATCATCTAGCTGTTTTTAAATTTTATAATTTCATCTAAAATATATTATACTATAAACTTATTTATATATTGTTATGATTTAATCCTGGTTAAAAATATTTTCCTTGTATAATCATTTTAAAGTGATTGTTTGTAAGAAATTTTTTTTGACATGAGTTTAATTTATATACGAAATACATTTAATTTGGTATCAAAAGAAAGGTCTTTTAAAAAGCAACAAACAGGTAAGTGACCAAAAAAATCAAATCATTGTGGTATTAAAATCAATGATGAAATTTAAAGCATGTTTTAATAAATAAAAAAATAATGCCACTTTTTTTTAATTTTTTTTACGATGCTATTTAAAAAAGTTATAAGTATTTTTAGCAGAGATCTCTTATTTTAGCAGAGATCTCTTACTTATAATACTTGACCATTAAAATAGTTAAAATAGACCAATTAAAGAAAAATACTTGATCATTAAAATAGACCAATAAAAGTAAAAATACTTGACCATTAATTACAAATTATGGTGACAAAAATCTTCACCAATCCTTATTAAAAATAGAAATATTATATATATATATATATATATATATATATATATATATATATATATATATATATACATATATATATATATATATATATATATATATATATATATATATATATATATATATATATATATATATATATATATATATATATATATGTATGTATGTATGTATGTATGTATATATATATATATATATATATATATATATATATATATATATATATATATATATATATATATATATATATATATATATATATATATATATATGTATGTATATATATGTATATGTATATATATACATATATATATATATATATATATACATATATAACACTATTTCAAGTAGTACATCTGCTTTGTCATATAAGTTTATTAAAAATATTGAGAAGCGATTTGTGTCAGATACCTATGAAATTTTAATAAGTGCGAGTATTATGGTAAGTCTTTTAGTTATTGTTTTTCTTATTTTGTTTGGTATTTTATATCAACTGAATTAGGTGATCACATTGACTATTTTTTTTTTTTTACTTATCAGCATAGATTGAAATCTTTATTTACCTACTTTTTTTTATCTACCAACGTTTTTAAAAAAGTCGCAGCTAAAATATAAGTTAAATACAAAAATGTTTTATGATTATAACTAACAGGTACTACAAATTTATTTAACAAAGAAAATAGATTCTTTTACTTTACTGCTCGCTTGTATTATAAGAAATCCATCTACATGAATGCCCACTAGAGAAAAATAAATATATATTTAAAAGAATACTTTTAAAATGAAGGCGGCAATTATACATTAGGGTTAAAATAAAATCCAATATACAATTCTTAATAATAATAATTAATATATACTGGTTAAAATAATATAAAAATATATAATTCTTAATAATCAAAGTTTAATTTGCTGTGTCATTGTGAAGCCAATTTAATTTTGTGTTGATTTTATATTAATCTTCAATAAAAGTTACAGTATTTTTTATTTGGAGTAGAAAAGGAAAAACGAAAATAAAAAAAACCCACGAACACAATTTAATCTCGGTGGGGTTAGGAGGGGGTGGGATAGAGGAGGGAGTGGGGAGAGTAGAAAATATTTTGACGATTTCCCAATTTCGTCAAAACGTTGTATCAAATTTGTTCCTGGTTTACACCCTGTATATATATATATATATATATATATATATATATATATATATATATATATATATATATATATATATATATATATATATATATGTATATATATATATATATATATATATATATATATATATATATATGTATATATATATATATATATATGTATATATATATACACCTATTGGTTTACATCTAAATTTACAATTTTATATATATATATATATATATATATATATATATATATATATATATATATATATATATATATATATATATATATATATATATACACTTATTGGTTTACATCTAAATTTACTGTTTGTGGTAAAGAAAAATGGCTCTTAATGACTCTTTATCTGTAAAAGTGACTTTAAAAGTTATATATGAATCACTAACTTAAAAAAGGTGCATGTTATGTGAATTTTTGCAGGACATGTCCCCTTTTTCAAGTTAGCGATTCATATATGTATAATGTTTGTATATGTATATTTGATTTTTTTTATATTGTTCTATAGGCCGGATGTTTGCTGTTCAAAAAGGCATCAAGCTAGACAGCAAAAGTCCTGATTGCAAAAAATTCCTCTTTTCTTTAATGGATCAGCTTGAAAATGTATTTTTCAGTTTCATTTTGTTAAATCTTTTTTAAATAGTTGTAGCAAAGATTTACTTGACGTTTTTCAACTCACTCAGTGTATAAGTTTTTTCAGGTAAACACTAGTTAGCATCATTTGGCAGTTTTTCTTCAATTGCTTGTGGCGTTATTTTAGACAAAAAAGGCACTTTTGGAGAGTGGTGAAGAGGCGGTTTCAAATGAAATTGTTGGGCAAGCTCATATAGAAAGTGTTACATTGAGTCTCTTTTCGTGGGCTGATAGTGAAGATAGGAATGGAGTTTTTAACCGGTATGCATGTTTTTAACAGAGTTTTTTTTATAGCATTCAGGTTTTAGTGGTATGTTTGCATCAAGTTTTATTGATGCAAACATATTTATAGTTTTAATTGTTATATATTTTTTGATTTCTTGAACCTTTTAAATGTAAATTTGTGTGAGACTTTTTGTGGAAGAAATGTACTTTTTATATTAGATTTTAACTATTTTAATTTTAAGTTGGAAGGTGCAATGAAAACTGCTGCTTTACTTTTGTCACCGTTTTATTATGATTAGCTAAGATTAATTATAGTTTTTAAATATATTTCAAGTACAAAGCTTTTTATTGGTTGAAATGTTCACAAGGTTATTCTGAAAAAATGTATACAAAGTTTTATAGAAATGAAAATGTTACAACATTTAAAGATATAAAGAGTCTGATCTGTGCTTAGTTTTCAAAAATTTGAGAAAATTTCACCTCAACCTGTTTTTTTTTCCTGATTTGTTAAGGCTTTTAAGACTATTTAAGACTCAAAAAATGATAAAAAAGTATCAGAGCTTATTTAGCAGAGTATCCAGAACTTTTCTTTTTTTTTTTTTTGAGCAAATGATGTTTAAATTTTGATGTTATAGTTATTAGAAAAAGAAGTTTAGAAAATATTGAAATAATATAAAAGTAATAAAATAAAAAAATAATAAAACAAAAGAAATATATAAAACTGTAATGTGTAAAAGTGAATAAGATTGCTGAATACACTATCCCTGTTGGTATAAAACACCATTACAAAAAAGAAATTGAAGTGTAGATAGAAAAATAATGACTGCAAAAGTACAATTCCAGCTGAACATGTTTATTGAAGAATTCACTGCAAACACAGATGCGTATGCTGTCAGTACCTGCATTTGAACTTCAAGACTGGAGATTGTTTAAAGAAAATGTTTAAAAAATTGATTTATCTTTAGCTTACATGCAACTAAAAAGTGATGAGAAACTCTGGGCTTGCCAAACTATTGTGTTTCGTGAATAAAGATTTTGTTCAACTCATTTAGAATAAACATTGCGCCAGTCATAATAAAAGCTGTGTTGGATAAAGTGCTTTCACAAGACAAAACAATCTGGAAAGGAACGCCATCATACATTTATGATGTTTTGTCAATGAGGACATAATACCTGTTTGTTGCGTACTTGATCATTTGGAAATTTTAAAATGCATAGGTTGCATTGTAAGCCGGTGGTCCGCGTATCCGAAAGAGCAAGAGTTCTTGGTTTACAGGTCAGAATGGAAAATAAAAAGTTGTGTTGGAGAAGAGATAATGATTTGGTGTTGACATGCGTGTCCATGTTGACAGCATATTTTTTGAAATGCTATATTTCATTGCAACCTGAGAATTTTGTAAATATCCCTTAAAGCAACATACATTTCTTTAATTGATTTTGTGTTCATTTTTCTCTTTACATTGACAGTAGCTATTATAAAATGTAAACACAACAAATTTTAATATAATATTGCAATGCACGTTAGTATAACTTACACAATAAACTATCAAACTATTATTATTGTTTACATATCAATGCAAGGGCCTCGTTGCGTTTTTTTTTATATTTTCGTTCTAAGGTTCGAATTATCAGAAAAGTTTTAGCCATGGGAACAGATAAAATGGTTCAACTTTTTTGAACCATTTTATCTGTTCTTGAACAGATAAAATGGTGTTCGAGTTATTGAGTTGTTTTTATGTGAAAGTATTAGTGAGGGTTCAAGGGGGTCTCAAAAGTAGTTCGAGTTACTGGAAGTTCGAGTTATCTGGGGTTTAAGATATCGGGCTTTCACTGTATCTGGAAAAAATGCTGAATGATATTGTTAAAAGAACATGGAATGATGATCCTGCTAAGGGAATTTGTAGTGTTTATAGTTACAAGGCAACAATTTGGATAGATGCTAGTTCTATAGCACTAGGTGTTAAGTTTGATGGCAATATAATTAAAGATGCTTGTAGGTTAAGAAAATATGACACAACACACATATAAACATGTCCAAACTTGATTCAGTAATTAAAGAAATTAATATTGGTCGTAACTGAAAAATGGAAATTTCGCATATATGCACTGATTCGGAAGCGGTATTCCATTGGGTTACTGACGCACTCACTGGAAAATCTAGATAGAGGATAAAAGCTTCAAATAAAATGCTGATAAGAAAAAGATTCCACAGTATATCAAATATAGTGGAAGAATACCAACTCAAAGTAGATATTAAACTTATCCCTTCTAAGTTTAACTTGGCCGATGCTCTTACTAGAGTGCCTAATAGTTGGTTAAAAATGGTTGAAAAACCCTCTGAAATGGCAGCAAGTGGCATTATTAAAACTTTGCTATCTTCCAAAGAAATCAAGTATTTATAGGTCACCAGGACATTATGGCATGAAGAAAACCTTGTACTTCATTTGTAAAATTGACCCGTCAGTAAGCAATGAAGAAGTAAAACAAATAGTTGAGAAATGTATAGCCTGTCAATCAATTGATCAAAGTCCAATAAAATGGCCAAATAAGGAAATAGAAGTTAAAAGAACATAGTATCGACTTGGCATGAATATAACTCATTATTAGGGGCAGCACTATCTTACTCTAATTGACTGTGGACCTACAAAGTATGCAATATGGCGATATCTTAAAGATCCAACCAGTGCATGTGTTATTCAAGAAATGAACGTGATATTTCTCAAATAAGGAGGTCCGGGTGAAATACTGACAGACAATGATACTGCATTTTGAAGCACATTATTTTTGGAGTTTGTAAGTAAATGGAACATTAAACTTCCATTCAAGTGCGCTTATGGACCTTCTGGTACATAATACCAATTGAGACAAAATGGTCATTATGATCAAGGTGGAGTGTAATGTATAAATATAGTTAATGATCGTTTTAAAGCTAATGATCGATTAGCGTTACTTGTAAATAATTGTATATGTATATAGATGTATTTGTATATAATATAAAGGAATAATTGTAAATATCAAGAGAGTTATTTTGTATATAAATTATTTTGAATTGCTTTGAGATAGATAAAGTGTTTTACGCTTATAAAGTTCTTTTTAATGTGAAACAACAAAAACCTTGTTTTCTATATTGCTAATATTTTTGGTCATGTTATAACTTCCTGAAATGCCATTTACTATAATACTGTTTATGAATATATTTTAAAAAAAGATAAAAATTTCCAATTGTGTTAATATTTTATCTTTTTTAGTAACATCACAAAAGCATTTTATTCTGCTAGCTTGTTGTTTGATGTTTTGGGCCAGTTTGATGGATTTACAGAAGAGGTAAAGATTTTTGTCATTTTATTTGGACCATTTTTTATAAATATTTTGTAGTAATACTAGTAAGCATTACGAAATCAATTGGCTTGCTTGACTTTATTGGTTTTATGAATTTTAATTTTAAATTTATTGCTCACTTAAATAAAGCATTCTAATGAGTTATCTCACCCTTAAGGTGGCTCTATATGTTCATGACACAATTATATACACTAATTTTAACAAAATTAGAGTATATAAACATATAAGAGTGTATAATCCTCCCAATTTGATTGCTTGAGAACAAGTAGCCAATCCTAAATGTCTTTTTAAATCTATCTTCTGTCACAAAACTATAAATAGACATTAAGACTTTAAAACAGCAACAATCTAAAATCCGAATTCGAAGTTGTGTATTGATTTATCATACATTTGATAATATATTGATTGATAATTTAATCATAATATAAACATAAGTTATGTTTACAATTTTATTAATCAAATTTTTCATAAATTAATGAAAATTAATGAGTTTTAAAAAAACCACCTGGATAATTAACTTTTTTGTCAAAAACATTATACATAACATTGCATAAAAACTTATCACTTTTATAAATACAATAAAAGTACATTTTCGAATAATCATTTTTTATAAATCAAAACAGTTATTTTTTAATTACAAGCTTGTAATTAACCATAGTTTAAAATGTGCAAATGAGAACAATTGGTGTCTAAAATCAAAATCTAAAATTTAAAAATGCAGCAATAATGAGAAATCAAGTTTTGCAATCCTTACAACTAATTAAGTTTTAAAAAAAGTTTTGATGGGTTTTACTGAAAGCTAAATGAAGTTTTGCAATTATTACTGAATTTAACTAAAAATCAAATTTCTATTTCAAATTTGGCACTGAAGTCAAAGCCAAAGTCAACTTTGCCTTTCAGCCCACCTCTTATACACTGGGCCTGAATAAGGTGGACATATATTTCAGGCAACCTCGTTTCTGATTCTGCAAAAAACAGGTTTTAGGCTTTGTTTTTTATATTACTCACCCTTCTTTAGTAAGTCTGTTTTTTACAGAAAAAAAATGAAAAAAATATTCTTCTTAAGTAAAGTTAATTATTATTTAATTTTTATTAAAACAAAATTTTTTTTAATAGATAAGAAGTAAATTATGACTTGACTGCAATTTGATCAAGGACCTTGCCTTTGATCGAATTGATGTGGTGTTAACCTCTCACATTTGCCCTTGATGTGGAATTGCTTGCATTAATCTCCTGGCCAACAAACTTACAGATACCGTTGTAAATTAACTGTATTGAAATAAATATTTGTGATAAATGTATATATATATATATATATATATATATATATATATATATATATATATATATATATATATATATATATATATATATATATATATATATATATATTTTTAAAATTAGGAGATGGTGCTGAAACCAAGGGCTTTTGGGTTGTATAAAGTATTTAAGTGGATTAAGAGGAGAAGGGATCTGCAAAAAGCGTTCGATAAAGTAATGGGGGAGGGGGGTTTCAAAAGTGTACATTCTTTTTAGAAGGGGGTGAAGGACTTAAAAGTATGCATCGCAACAGGGAGAGGGTGGGGATGAACCTCAAAGGGTCATCCATACTTTATGGATGACCCTTTGAGGTTTGCACTGGCTCATGAATTTTGACTGAAACACAACTCAGCCCGTTTATTGCTAATATTTATTGCAAAATTTGGATCTTTCTAAGTTGATAAATACACTTGATACAACACACTTACTGAGACTCTTCCACTTGATGTCTTTTCAGATATCTTTCTGGCATAATGGTAGCTCATTTGAACAGCAATCATGAATATATTTCTAGAAAAATAAGAGCAGGTTCAACAACATTTAAAATACATTTTAGGACTTTGTCTAGCAGAGAAATAGCATCATTAGAAGAACCAGCCAGTATTCCATACAGAGAAGAATAATAGATTTTTAGTAGTAGAAAATGGAATAGGGAGGACAGAAATTGAAAGCACAAAAAGAGGTAACAAGATTATATATATGGTTTCCATGTGAGGTCAGTAGTGGGTGATAATCTGAAAAGACTCAATAAGTAGAAGACTCAATAAGGGTGTGACATTTAGTAGAAAACTCAATAAGGGTGCGATTTTCATTAAAGGAATATCAACAATATTGCGATAGTTGTTTGCATTAAATAACTTTTGTTTAGGTTAAAATTTTTTTTGAGTTTAAGACTTATGGAGAAAAGTACAGACGTTTAATATCAATTGCATCAATTCTATTTGTAACATTAAAGTTAGCAAAATATTTTTTCTAGTCACTAACTGCATTACAAAAGTAATAACACTATAATAGTGTTATTACTTTTATAACGCACTTATAACTTTTAAAATTCATTCTTTTTTCAACCAACATTAGTATTCCCAAATTTTAATTGAAGTAGAAAAATATCTAGAAGAATATAGTGGATGTTCAAATAATATTAAAACTTAAATAACTTATTAAAACGTGACAAAAAAACTTTTTTAAAAGTAACATTATTAATGGACCGTAAAAATGCGCGTTAATTTTAAAATTAACCAATAAAAATTTTTCATTGGTTGATTTTAAAATTAACGCGCGTTTTCATGTAACATTTTTCATAATGCTATACTTTTTATAAAGTACTTTTTTATAACGTTGTTTAAGTGATATGTGAAAGTTCCTGAAATTTTCAATAATATTTGAATATCCGCTTTTTTTTTTCTAGATGCTTTTCTACTTTAATAAATGTTTGGAATTAATAATATTGTTTGAACAAAGAATGAACTTCAAAAGTAATAAGAGCTTTATAAATGTAATAATATTATTATAGTTTTATTACTTTTATAAAACAGTTAGTGACTGAAGTGTTATTACTTTTGTATTTGTAAGTTTATTGTTTTTGTTTTGTTTTTTGTAACTTTCTCGCTAGCAAACTTTTAATAATTTGCTCCTTATAAACAAAGTACACAGCTTTGTATGAACTAAAATTTTAAAGACCTAATATTTTACCAGAGTTTGCAAACGCGATCGTATAATTTAACTCTTGATATAAACTTGTTACATTATAATTATACAAATATATTTTACAAATAGATGATGATACATATTTTCTCTTTCCTCTTTAAAAGAAAAAACATAAAATATTGGAAAGTCATCCTTTTTAACGCCAAAAACCGTTTTTTTTCTTTTTTTTTTCTTTGACTTAATGAATTTTGTTGCCGATAATAAGAACCACTAAGAAAAAAATAAAATAAAAACAACACACAAATTGTTTTCTATTTAAGTTTACTTTAATTTCTTATGCAGTTAATAAATTTAAAACAATTTTTTAGTAATGCATATAATATAACTTGCGCAAACGGCCGTGATCACGTTCTTAACTTAAAAAACGATTTCGTGGTTGTCATGATATAGTCATGATATTATTAATTTATTAATTTATATATAGACCCACCAGTTCACAAACCTCTGCACCGTCAAAACAACCCATTGTGACATCAAAGCAGTCGTGTGCTAAGTTTTTCTTCCATGTTTTGTTGTTAAAAAATAGCAAGGATTTTCTGCAATGTTTAATGACTCTGATGTTTTTTTGCAAACAGTATTGCATTACTTAGTATTTTAGATGTAATAGTGGGGTAAAAATCGACAATGTCAATGCTATTTTTTGCATAATTAAAGTTATAAAAATGATCGGTTCTAAAATAGAGATTCAAACAAACTTACCCGCAGTCACAGAGTTCATGGCACTCAGGGAAATCCTGGAAAATCAGGGAAAAGTTCTGTAAGTTTGAAAAATCAGGGAATACCTGGAAAAGTCATGGAACTTTTTTTGAAAATCTTTAAAATTAGGGAAAACTTAGGTAATATTTTTTAGTTTTATATTTAGCTTGAAGTTGTTTTTCAATATACTAATTTTAAATCTTTATTATTATTGAAAGCTGCTCACTACAGTGATTTTATAACTTTTGTAATATATAGTAACCATATGTTTATATAAATATTTAATTAAATATAATAGTGTAAGATATGACTTCAGAAAAAATCTATTTTCAAAAAGATTGGTTACAACCCCATATTTATAAAGATTAGTTAGTTTCTGATGCACATACAAAAATGCTATTTGCAAAAGATGTTAAAATCATTTAAATTGTCTAATATAGGTATTTTAGCTGTTTAAAGTCATGCTGTTATTTATATTAACATTTTTAATGTGACTAAAAATTAAAAAAAAATGTTGATTGATTTTTGATTTTATATTATAATCTCAGTTTTTAACTATCTGTTAAAAACTGAGATCTTGTAAATCAATGTAATGTAATGTACAAAATAAATAAATGTAAATCAATAAAATCAACCTTGTGGTTGCTTTTATTGTTTTACATTACTATTTTAAGTTTTGCAAGTTAAACTGACTAAAAAAAAAAAAATTTTAAATGTTAGACATTTTTAAAACTTGAATGTTTTATCTTGTCTGAGGTAAAAAGCATCTGCTGCAAAGCCTGTTTTTTTTTGTTAATGGAAATGAGTTGCTAGCTGAGCTTCTTAGATGTTGTGAACTGAGCCACTTAGATGTTGCGAGCTGAACCACTTACATGTGAAGAAAAAAAATACAACATTTTTCACCAAAAAATAAATAGCTATTGATTTTTCAATTAAATCATATTTATCAACTAAGTTGAGATCATATAAGCACTGAAATCTACAATGAGCTGTTACTCTAATATTTTATGTGCAAATTTGAACAACACTTTAAAAAAAATGTTTTCTGACAGCTAGGTAGTCAAAGATTTCACCATAAGCACCTAGAAAGTATCAAACATTGTTAACCATGGGTTAGCGCCATACTTCAAGACACTCTTAAGAGAAGAAATCACTAAGTCTGATTGTTACATTGTATCTTTTGATGAGAATTTGAACAACATAACCCAAACATGTTAGATAGACCTACTCATTCAATATTGGGATGTCAATAACAAAGTTGAAGTAAGACATTGAACATCAGCTTTTCTTGGTCATTCTGCAGCTTCTGACCTTCTTACTCATGATAATGTATTTGTCTTCAACAAAAACTTATCGAGGTTTGATTTAAGTAAACTAATTCAAGTTTCCATGGATAAATCCTCTACAAATTAGAAATTTCTAGATGATCCAAATAAACACAAAAGGTACAACGACATGCCACAGCTTATAAATATCGGAGTTAGCTCATTTCATATAATTCATGGTGCTTTTAATACAGTTATCGAATCAACCAAATGGAATATTAAAGAAACTCTAAAAGATTGTTGACAAATTCTTCATGATAGTCTGGTTAGGCATTAAGATTATGAAACAATCACGAATGCAACAAAATGCCCTTTTTTCTATTGTGCAAAAAAGTAGATTGTAAGCAAATCTGTTGCAGATTGTGGCATTGGAATCTGGTCTAATATATGCAAGTTGATTGAGTATTGGAAAAAGTTCTATCTTCAAAGCAACCCAAATCGAAAAGTTTTTAATTGTCAAAAAAGCTGTTAAAGACAAACCAATTATTTTAAAATTTAGAGTTTTCAGGTTTTTTATGGCTTTGTTTCCTTATTCAACTACTTTTTATTACTAAAAAATCTTCCTTTAACAAATTGCTATCATTTAGATAAGGAGAAGTAGCTAATATCTCAAAAAATTTTGATATAAAATATTAAGAGAACATTAGTTCAGTGGCGAAAGTATTATATCCTTCAACAATAACAGGGAAAATTATATACTTTTTACCATTCGAGCTAAGGAGAAAAATACTTGAAAACAGGTAAAAATTTAAGAATATTCAGGGAAAACTCAGGGAAAATAGAAATAATCCTGTAAATAAATATATATTTATATACATACACAGTCTTCTCCATTTGAAATTTACTGCCAACGCAGGAAAATGCACTGGCCGAACAGTAATTATTTGTCTGGCATGCGCGATTTAAAAAGAAAATTTTTTTTGCGGGAGGCTAAGCGTGAATCGGCGTAAGTGCGAACTAGTATAAGTGAGAAGCGTTGCAAAAACTGGAATAAATGCGAACTGGCATATGTGCGAATTGGCATATGTGCGAATTGGCATAAGTGCGCCGATAGAATTTGCAAACATTGGCATAAGTGCGAATCAGCATAAGTGCGAACTGGCATTAGTGCGAAGCAGTTAGAAAAACTGGCATAAGTGCGAACTGGCATAAGTATGCCGAATAAATTTGCAAACATTGGCATAAGTGCAAATTAGCATAAGAGCAAAATAACAATTTGCACTTATGCCAATATTTGTAATTTTATTCAGCCAATTTACTTAATTTATGCCAATTCGCACTTATATCAGTTCGCACTTATACCAGTTTTTGTAACTGCTTTGCACTTATGCCAATTTTTGCAAATTCTTTGTTTACTCTGGGCTATCATAAGGAACAAGAACTACAAACTTTCTGTGGCTAATTGAACTAAGCTTGGCGGCTTCGATCCACTGAAATCTAAGAAATTGAGGACCTCTTTGTTTGCTCTCATTTAGGCTGATGGATGTTCCCGATAGCGTTTGAGAAATTTCACCTTTTTTTTCACATTTATTTATTAACTAAGCCCAGGTCTGTATCCAGCTTTATTTGGTCTTCAAGATACCTAACTTCCAGACATGGAGCAAACTCCAAACATTTATATGTTTATACCTATGTCAAATAAGGATGCTTTGCAAAAAATTGCAATGATTGGAGCTTGGGAACAAAAAAGCCCCAAAATTTGTGCTCCTCCTGCCCTAAACATGAAAGCAACAAGTTGATGAAATATTTTTTGTACTATTTTTAACTAGACTTATATTCATCGATAAATTTTAAACTTCATAGTAAAATATTTCAGCGTTCAAAAATTTTGACCATATAAAGTTTAAACCCCCCTCAATTTGAGGGGGTCGCAAATTTTAAAATGTTCTAATTTTGCATTTTAACAAATACTTTTTAATAAATAAGTATATATAAAAAGTATACAAAATCCTTCCTTTTGCCATAAAGCTACAATTCCCTACCTTTTTCAATGAAGTGAGCATCTTGTAATATTTTTTCACATTTTTGGCACAAATGTGAAAAAAATATGTAAAAGCTAGAGAAAATGCTAACCAATTATGTAAAAACCTACATGGTTTTCTTTATCAAGATCATTCCATGCTTATTTTACATCAAGATCATTCTATGCTGTTCGCACATGGTTTCTTGACCCTTGTCTTATTGTGCTATAGTTCTAGCTGATGAAAAATGTGAAGAAAGAATATCCATCAGCCCAAATAAGAGCCAACATTAAGGTTCTCAATTCTTTAAATTTCACAGAAAACTTGTGACTTTGTTTATTATGAAATTTTGGAGTAAAAGTGACTGTCAATGGATGAGTCTCCATCCATTCAAATATTGCACTTGCAGTGATTTCTACCTAAAAAGTCAGGATGCTGTTTTTCATCTTGCTGGTGTTAACAACAACAAGCTGTTTATTTTATGTAATTAATTTTTAAAATAGTATTATAAAAGCATTAAAAATAAGTTACTTATTGCAATGAAAGAACTGTTGACCTCATAAGGGACAACAATGATTTTGTTAGAAATGTAAAGAGGAGAAAGTTTTTTAAACAACTTTATTCTATTATTCTTAAACAACTACAAAAGCAAGTATGGAGTAAAAAGCAAGACCATTAAGAAAAATAAAAAAACAATAAATAAATATAACAATTTTTTTTTTTTTTAAATAATATTTTAATAAAAAGTTTGTTGTTTGAATTTGCTTGAAGTTTTATGCAACGTAATGCACAATAATTAGGAAAAATCGCATAAATTTGCAATTTTGTAGACAGATTTATATATAACATTATAGACAGATTTATATATAAAATAAAATTATCATGCATTTTTATTTGGTTCTTCTACTTAAATAAAAACTCCTAATAGAAAAATTTTTTTTTTTTGAGTTTTAGAACTTGCACAAATGTGCCAAAAATGAGCTTAAAAAAGGGTTATATATATATATTAAATATCTAGTTTGTTCTGTTTATTAAGTCTAGTTTATTCTATCTATTGTGGTCTACTTATAGATATAAGTTGTGGATTGTAGTATAGGCTTCTTTTTTTATGTAGTGTCAAATTAAACAGAAATATGCCAAATGGAAAGCAACATACCTTCATAAATGCTTGCAAAATGGAGTGGTTCCTGAACCTGGTCCAGAAGGATCTGGATTTGAGAATGAGCTTAATGTTTTGCCAGATGTATCAAAAGAGTCCAATTTTAATTCTCCAATTCCTCCATCAAATAATGCGGACTCCATAAACTTTGCTACGGGTTATTCATCTGCACCAACTAGTTATGGTTTTGCACCTCCAGAAGTGTTTGAAAAACCAGTGCCTGTTCCAAGAAAGGTAGTTTGCATAAATTTTAGATCACTAATCTAAGCAAATTGTTAAATATTTTTAGGTTTACTGGATAACTGCAATTAAAAATCTTTTTTAATTGTATTTAATAAAGCAAAACTTTAAATTGTATTTTATTAAGAATTTTTATTTAACCCTGAATACTTTTTAGGTTCTAAATGCAACAGACACCTCGCCCCAAAATCCATCTGTTAGTGACTCTAGCAGTTCTGACATAGACTTTATACAAGCTACAAAATTTTGCAAATTTGCCATGAGTGCTTTACAGTACGAGGATGTAGGAACAGCTGTTGAAAACCTTACAAAAGCATTGAATTTGCTTCAGAAACGTTAGCGCGATAAGAATTCGTGTTGTTTACGCGAGCAGAAAGATATTGTGTTTGAGTATTACTTTTTTTTTTATATTGTCTTTTGTTAAATTCGATTTTCATGTAAGTTTATGATAAGGCGATTTTTTTTGTAAAAATATTTGTATTGTGTTTGAATATTTTTTTTTTATATATACTGTCCTTTATTAAATTCATTTTCATGTAAATTTATGACACGTTTTTTCTTAGTAAAGTGAAAAAATTCTAATATTGAGCCGGAAACGCAAAAGAAACAATAACTGTTATCTTTATGTTTATGAATCACAATTATTGATGAACTTTCTTATGCAACGCTAAAAGCATTTTTTTTTATTGGGTCTAGGTTTGGACTACTGCAAACATGGTAACGTTAATTATTTTAAGTTTACATTTGGTACAATTTGTTACGTACTACAAAAAAAGTTTTTTTAGGAGTGTGCTTTGACTTAAGAACACATTACGAAAATCGTTAGAAATTCTTTCGTTGCGTTTTAACTATAAAAATAAAACTGCATGGCAGTGTTCAGTGGGTCAAATTGTCTAACAGTGGCTAAACTATTTATGGGTTAAATATAGACATAATACATGTTTATAATAGTTTTTGGGGGCCAAAGATTTCATTTTTAGGTTCCATTTTAAGTTTGGAGTACTTATGACCAAACAAGTGGTTATTTTAGGGGTAATTATGGGGTGTGACACGTATGTCTAAATATAGGTAATTGCGGTCAGAGAATTTAAATCCGGGCGTATTCGGTCTTTAGAAGTAATCATGATCGCTCAAATGGTTATTTTAGGGATGGTCCTGAGATGTTTTTCAGTTAGATGGGACATTTTGTAAGTCTAAATATAGGCAATTGCAGTCAGGGAATTTGAAACTGGGCATATTCGGTCTTCAGAAGTAGTCATTACCGCTTAAGTGATCATTTCAGGGGTAATATCCTGATGATTTTTCGATTACATGGTACATTTTGTATGTCTAAATACAGGTAATTGAGATCAGGAAAATCAAATCTGGGCATATTTAGGCTCTGAATGTAGTCATAACCGTACATGTGGTCATTTTAGGGCTAATTAAGAATGGTCTTGGGATGTCCCAATGGTTTAACTAATTAATTAGATGGAACAGTTGTATGTCTAAATACAGGTAATTAAAGTTGGAGAATTTAAATCTGGCCATATCTGGTCCAGGAATAGTTATGATCGCACAGGTATGGGTGGTCATGGTTTGTCAAGACAGTATTTTCGTAGTTATTATTTATTTTATGTATTTAACTTCTTTGATATTGTGATTATAAACATATAACGAATCTAGGTCATGACATACATCATGCATTAGTACATCAAAAGCCCTTTGGCCTCCTCAGGTTGATTGGAATCTTTGACTTTTCTCTGACTCTTCCTTATTTTGGACACCTAGTATTGTAGCTGCAAAGTATTTTCACCATAAGATCATAGTTTGTTTGAGGCCTGTAGAATTTCATTGTGTAGTGCTCTCTGTTGATTTTGTGTAAAACATGATTGGGGTGTATAAAATTACTATTATTCACAAATAATTGACTGTTTTTCCATTTTTTGGGCGTTATTTAAATGAACAAAACACATTTGACGCATTTAAAGTAAAATTTTCTAGATAAAAACGACAATTTAGAAAAGTTATTTAGACGACATTGAAACTAATAGTACTAGATGATGTAGTTTTCTCGCTTTCAACACAACGAGAAATTAAAAATCCTTTTTTCTCGTAAACAGACTAATTTTTCTTTACTAAACTCTTCTTTTTACATAAATGAAAACTTTTTGCATACATAATACAAATAATAAATATTTTCTTCTGTAAATCATCTTTTATCATCTATATGTTCATTTAAAATTAACACAATACCTCAATTCACAAAAATTTACATTGTAAATTCGCTTAAACATAACAAAAAAAATTACGAATAAAAAAACTATTAAACTGAAATTTTCTTCGAATATTGCATACATACTCTTGCCCGATGACAACACAATAATTTGTGTTTAAATAACATATAAAAGTATTTTAAAAGTTCGTTTTTAATTTTACTTATACTACTAGTGTCAAAAATAAACAGAAATAAAAGATATGTAAAGTATATCCTGACGTAAGGAGCATTGAAAATTTATGTGAGAAGGGTGATGTATAAAAATTTCACATAAAAATATCTATACTATAGCCTATTTTTCGAATAATCAGTTGTTATGTGTGTGTGCGTGTGTTTGTGTTTGTGTTATCGGTCTTTCGAATAATCAGTTGTTATGTGTGTGTGTGTGTGTGTGTGTTTGTGTGTGTGTGTGTGCGTGTGTGCGTGTTATCGGTCTTTTGAACTTCAAGAGACTATCAATCCTTTAATAAAACGAAACATTTTTCTCATCATGAAAACATTCTTGCAATGATTACGGATGAGCAAAAACATGCTCGATAATAAAGTTTGCGCAGAACTTCAAAAGCAAAGTCACAGCCAATTACCGTAATTAGACAGTTTATTATTCCTGAACTAAACTACAACAAATCCGATTACATCGATCTCATTGATAGGCAAAACACTAAAACATCCATTGACATTTCACCAATCATCCATTGACATTTCACTTTTTTGACGCAGTCATTAGAGAGATGATCATTACTTGTAAGCCAGCTGTTATTGATTGCTCTAGAGTTTCCATGTCACATTTAAGTTATTGGACGTTGCGTTAAAGCTGTTACTGCGTTAAAGCTGTTACATCGGTAGAAGTGTGCAGTCATAAATTGAGAAGCGGATTTATCCGATCGAGATTTGAGAATTGACGTATAATACCAGGATTTAATACTTAGGTGGAATACCGGGTTGCATAATTTAATTTTATTATCCGCATTTCTGCAATTCAAGAATTATCTTGACTTGTATAAAAGTTGTGTCAAATCTTTTTTATTTTGTATTATAAAGTAAGATTTATGTTTTTTACTTTAATGCACCAATATTGTAATATTGTATAACAATATGTAATACGTTGTAACATTTACAATAAATATGAATCAACTTTGATAAATTGTAGTCTTTTTTTTTTAGTTTTGGTGTTTTTTTTCCAAACGACAAGGGAGGCTAAATTAGTATATAATTGCGATATAACTTTGAAAAAAAAACTCAAAATTGTATCACAATTTTATAATACTTTAAACTATATATAAATTAAATTACAGTTATATATTTAAATTAAATTATTTTTTGGTTTAAAATGATCAAATTCCCTGAAGAAAATTATGGTCTTCAGTTGCCCCAAGGAGGCAAAAGGGGTAAAAAAGACCTTTAAACTATAAAGTATAAAGAAATTTTGCAAACAACATTAAAAAAAACTAAAACAAAAATAGATACAAATTTTTTGAAGACTTGTCTGCATAATATGATAAAATTTGTATGCATTATTTTTTTATATGTTGTATAAGGCAAAAAACTTTGAAAGGAAAAAAAACTTGAAAAATCTAAAGGACTTGAAAAATTGCAGGAAAGAATTTTTTCATCGAAATTGCAGGCAAGAATTTTTCGGTTCAGATTAATAGCATGCAAAATACATCTGACGTGCATCAAAAAAGAGAAATCAAATAGAAATTTCTCTGCGTACTTCTTGACGAAAATGTCACGCCGAGAGATCACATACATTATCTCTAAAATAAATTCTCAAAGAACATTGGCCTATTTGTAGAGCAAAGCCTTTTTTAAATCTAAATTACTTAAAATTTTTATATTTTTTCGCTCATTCATTGTCATCTTTATTACCCAAACAATTCTAGATGAACCCAGTGGGCATTTGTTTTTAAAAGTTACGTTCTAAATATATTTTAAATATCTTTTAAACTCGGTGGCGGTTAAAACAGGCAGCTTTAGAAAATGTTTTCGAAGCATATAAAACTTTTAAAATTTCAATCTTTCTTATGTCAGTGTTGCACCGTATTAAAAATTCACCAAACTTTGAATCCCAAGCAAAAATAGATGCTAATGTGCTCCTTGATACGCTGTGTAAATTAGAGTCTCGTCTAACCGGCTATCTGCTACTTTGAGTGTTTAGTATTCTGCAGTCTGCTCCAAAATACTTGCAGACTAAGAACATTGATTATCTGAGTGCTTGGAAAATGTTGCAAGCTGTAAAATATGACGAGATTTACAACAAAACAAAATTTTTATACAAAGTAAATGAGATTATACTCCAAAGCAAACGTAAGCACACAGTTGTGTAAAATAGGATGGTAAGAAAAAATGCCTTGAGAAATAGGTGAAAATACAAGACCTTTAAACCTACCGACACTTTTTCTAGTTTTTCAAAAGAGTCGCTGTTCAAACAATTTGTGATAATACCTGAGCGGTTTTCATTAAACTACCAGCCTATTACAGACACTGTCTGCTTCAATCTTAGAATATTTAAGAAAATATGAGAAAAAGAGTCACTTATTCAAGCTTTAAGTCGAATTTTTGTTTTTACTGGTCTTAATGCTGAAGCTTTACTAACAAAATTATCGTCATTTATTCGAAATTATAAATGCTTGGCGAAAACACTACATGAAGAAATCAAAAAAAAAGTTCTAAAACTCAGACTGAGGATGAAGGTTACAAAGTGGTTGCTGTCTTCTCGATTGATACAGAAACTAAATGCACAAAGTTTGCTATGCTTTTTCAGAATTCTTCGCAGGTATTCATTGCAGCCTTCAACATATTCTAATTTTTTCCTCGCCCACAATTACTTACTGACCCTTTCGTGAAAATGTGAAATGTCTATTAGCAAACTGAAAATTATAAAAACTGCTATTTCGATCAATATTATCTGATAATCATCTTGAAGCACTAATGTCGATAAGTTTTGAAAATGATTCACTTGCTAGTATCAATGTGAAAGACATGTCATTTTAAAAAACTCCAAGTGTTATTTATGCAAGGCATCTTGCAGTTATTGGTTTACAGTTTTATTTACACTTTTTTTTTTTGCCATTTGAGATAAAAATAACTGAATTTTAACAGAAAATTTAAAAAACTCCTTAATATTCTTTAAGTTCCATAAATTTTTACGGAAAGTAGCGAAAACTCTTCATATTTCGTGAATTTTCACGGAAAATAACATGGGGTACAGAGCAATCTACATTTGCTTCACTT